TATTGAAAAGGCTACTCTGTGAGAAACTCACCTGATGTTGATTTTTACACTAACACGAAATCACTGATAATTGCTGCTCTAATGCGAATTTGAACTAACAGTACGGCCCGTGATTTCACCCTTATTTATTGACAGATTCACACCCCCAGGTTGGGTGGAGTTTGAGTCAAATTTTCCCCAAATTCTCCGCGTAGGGAGGAGCTTGTAATCAGCTCAAGCCCTGAGTTCTACGAATTTGAGAAAGTTCTCGTTGGGCGGTAGAACGACGTACTTGAATAGGATGATCGGAATTTGGGTCAGCTTTTGTACATAAAAATCTTCCCTTTGAAACGGTCCTCAATAGTTCCGCATGATGTCCTACCGCTACTGTACATGTCAACCTTTATCTGCACGGCTTCTATGTCCACTTTGGTGGTCGTTTAGAATTTATTGGTTTCGTTATTTACTTACGTCTTACATTACTAAAACTAGTTAAGCAGGAAGACCAACCATCAGTAATTCTCTATTATCGTAAAATTGGGATACTTAATTCAAGTCAGTCCATCGACTTTCTTAATCTTTTTTGTACATCAAACGCTTGACACTGGTTTAGAAAAGCTTTACATTAGCGTTTTCTGGTTTAATTAATCGATTTTTCTATGATTTTTGCCCTCCTATGGATCTAATTTTTAGCTGAATGAATGAATGACTTTAGTTAAAGTGGTTGAAAAATACGTAAATACTTAATCTCACTGCTCAGTCTTAAATTTACTGTCTTATCGAACTTAATTCACTTCAAGTGAATAGGTGTGTTTCAAGAGTATTTAATTTTCCAAAGTGGGTTCATGAACAACACTTGTATATCCATCGTTCACTAGAAATCAATTAATGATGTTTATTTAATATTAGTTTGGTATAAACACTGGTCGCAAAATAAGGTTTCAATAGTCCTCAACATAATGATGCATTGGTGTTTTAAGCTCGTTATCTTTACCCAAGTTAATTTAATCCGTAAGTATTCCATTTTGTATGAGAAAATTAAATTTAAATCCAAATGCTGCAACGGACTTTATCCTAATTAATTATTTGCCAAAAAAGAACTATCGATTTGATTGGATTTCCAATATTTTCATGTTTCGTTTTTAATAGAATCTCAAGCTTCCCCGGAGTCTTGCTATTTCTGCACGGGAACACCACAATGTGAAAACCCGATAGACTATGATGAAGTTTCACCAAGGGCATGTTTGGACGGAAGTGTGTGCCTTAAATACACCAGTTCCTACCAAAATATCAGTAAGTGCGATTTTGCAGTTGTATTTGTCAAGGTTTTGCTGCTTTCTGTGCGAGTATGGATTCAAATTTTAAATATCTAGCTGATCACTTGTTGCTTATTGATTGATACATGTATTTTTAGGAAACCATGAAGGTTTGCAGACAGTAACATATCGGCAATGTTTTAAGCCAGAGCTCCTAGATGAGTCAATATGCACTTTCGTTAAGAAATCAGAAGAAAACGAACTTCTCCAGCTGAATTACACTTTAACCAAGTTTGATTGTAGTGTTTGTCATGCCACAAATTGTAACTTATCTGCAAGCAATATCAGCACATTTTTGGCTTGGATTGTCATTATGTGTTTATTTTTAAATGTCTTATCATGGATTTGATTAGAACAAGATATTAGTGATCTTGGGCACTCAGCCGGTTTTAAATCCATTGAAGTAATTAATGAGAGGAAAACAGTACGTACTTGTAATCTTGTTATTACAAACTGATATTTTTAAAATGTTAAAAACTTCATTAAACTGATTACTTTTAGGTAACACGTAATTAAATTGGCTTTTCCTAAATTAATAAGTCTAGTAAAAAATATATTTATTGCACCACTAACTTGTGACTAGTTCAACGGAGACTGATCAAAACGTAATGTTAGGCTTTACCTTTGCTTTTGAGACAAAAAATTGCACTATTCATTTTTGTTCGATTAATACTTAGGTATTACTTAAGCTTAGCGATTATTAAATAGCACTGTTTTTTTTTTCAAATAGAAAATTTCAGTTTCACAATTTTCTTATTCAGGGTGGCTCGCCAGTTTAAAGTTTTGTGCCCAAACTTTGGGACACATTTGCAGGTAGTATGCTACTAACGACTTTTCTGAAATGCTCAAACCAAAAGATGATTTTCGGTTTCTATTTTCGTAAAAACGAAAACAATTATTTGAGCTCGCCAAAGTACTAAAGAATTAATTTAATTCAGACTTCTTAAAGCCGCTTTTGGTTGGAAGCGAATTAAGAACAAATTATACCTATATTTTATAGTTAGAAAAACCATGAAATTATATTTAGGATACATTTTTTCTGGGTTTAAGTAGACATCAATTATTCACAAAGCTGCGTGTTTCAATTTGCAAATTATTACAAAAATGCCAATTTCGTCGGCATGAATATTCAGTGCATAAGTAAAGCGTTTTAAATATATCTTTCACGATTATTTCAAGTTTCCAATTAGATGTTGAAGTACTGTTATATGCATACTTATGAAGCACGTCATATATTTATGACTGACTAACTAAGCAATTTATTTAATCTGATTTCCGCATAAACTCGACCTATTTTTTAAAGTTTTGGTAAAAAACACATACAAAAACAACAAAAATTTGCCCAACAATTTGGCCATTTACTTATGGAGCAGTTATAAAAATTTCATCAAATTCTTTAGCAAATTCGTCGACTGGTCGTTTTTTAACCACTAACGATTCAGCTACAGGTTCAAAATATTTGGTGTCGGTTTCATCCTCAACTTTAGGAATATACGAAGGCACCAATTTCTTCGAGAGCAGTTGATCGAAATCTGTGTTTTTAAACCAATCGTGTCCTTTAATGTCTTTGACTCCGTTTTTTAACAAACCGTATCTAAAAATGGAATATTCGCATTATTTAAGTCAATGTTAGCAACACGACAAAAAAGATTTAGAAAATAAACTGAAATGAATCGAGAAACATTGCTAAAAATAAAAGAAATTTCGGAAATTCGGAAAAAAAAGTGAAATTCTAGCTGATATGGTGGAGCGAATTTAATATGAACGAAAAACTAGTGACACATTTCATACAAAAAATAAAAAAATTTTAAATCCTTCCAGTTCAAGTTTTACGCAAATTTAAACAGCACATATTCTTAAATCTCAAATTGAATAGTGAAAAGCTTTATATTGATAGCTTTATTCTGAATCATCTGGCGATTGTTTGGTGTCTGAATAGCGGTACAGATATTTTATAACATAATTATGCAGATTTAATCACTTTGAGTTTAATTACTGAACTTCTCAATATATTTGAAAGAATATTTATTCAAGATTTCTTGCTGGATAATAAAACTTTGAGAAACCGATAATCATTGGAAATGCGGCATACACTTTGCCATTCTGGACTAATTGGCAAATCCTGATATAATGAAAATGGCGGTGACATCAGTGAAGCGAAATATGTATGCAATTTAAAGTAATCGTAAAAAATTCGTCGTTTTCTATAGCTTACAAAACATTATTTTTATTTATTTCGTTTTTTAAATATTTCAGGTCATTATGAGTTTCGAGATTTATTTTTAGAACGTTCAATAATTCACCTTTTAGATCGATCCACTATAAGTATATTATTGAGAAGGTCTTTCAAAGGTTTTGAAAAAAATGCTGGAAATGTAAATTTTCCTGCAACGATTTTTTCATACAATCGCATGGGGTCTTTAGCGTAAAATGGTGCATATCCAGCATTCATTTCGAACAATAACACCCCATATGACCAATAATCAACGGACTTATTGTAGCCTTGACTCAATATGATTTCGGGTGCCAAATATTCAGGAGTACCTAAAATAGTACTTTAGAAAATTTTATTGCTTATTTTAAATTTTTTGCGATTTCTGAATCTCTGATTGGTTAGGACATTAAATTACCGCATAATGTGTATGTTCTGGTGTTGTCGATTTTCTTGCAAAATCCCAAATCGGTCACACGCAAATATCCCTGAAGATCAAGTAATATGTTTTCGGGCTTCAAATCCCTGAAAAGGTTAGGATGCAAAATTTCCACAAATTCAGATAGGTATTTCACCAGATAAACTAATTGATTTTCACCAGTCTGAATTGTTCTAAAAAATTATTATATCTGATGGCCGTACAACCTCATCGCGTTATGTATGCTTGGACTCGATTTGTTGCTCAAGTAAAAAATACTGGGAAAAGTGAATCCAATTGATTCTCGATTACAATCAATTATTTGATGTAAATCACGAATTCGAGTATTTTATTGAAGCATCTCTATAAGTGTTTTAGATTTCCACAGCATCTTTCGTTGGTACTCAGCCAGTTTAATAAAGTGATCATGTACCTATAAATTACCCCAAGATGGTGCAGATATTCAAAAGCTAAAATAACTTGGGCGCCATAGAATTTCGACATGGACTCGTCAAATTTTTTCTGCTCCCGCAAATGGGTAAACATGTCGCCTCCATTTGCAAACGACATGCAAATTCCTACGTAGACGTTATCCTGAAGAAGCCAAATATTAGCTTTTCAGGCCTTAATTTCAAAAAAGCTCTAACAAGCTATTGGAGCAACTAATATGTCTAGAATTATCCTACCATGAAGAATCCATGCATGTCAATAAAAAATGGAAATTTTAAATTCTTCATTAACTTAATTTCTGCTCCAGTATGTACTAGCTGTCTGGTCTTGATTATGTTCGACTTTTCCATCAGTTTTAAGGCATATATCTTTTTATCCCTTTTGTCTCTGAAAGGTAATTAAATTATATACCACAGCTTCTTCAAGTTTTACAAATTAATAAGTTAATTATTGTTTTTTATTTGTCCTTTCTTTCTTTAAATTGTTTACTTAATTCTCATATTGTTAGTTAATTAGAAGTAAACAGCTGAAGCAGTGTTAGAGAATTACATTAAAGTTAAAATTATTGAGGACGGATAGCACATGAAAAGTGCCAGTTGCTGCTTAAGAAATCAATGATTTAACGCATAGTAGCTTATAAAAAATAGCTCTCCAATTCAGGGTAATTCTATTAAAACTCACTGATCTTAGTAGTTTTTACCGTCTACCTGCAGAGCACTACCATGCCAAAGGATCCAGCTCCCAACGTTTTCATCAAATCAAAATCATCCAGCGCACAATTCTGCTTTATGTCCTGGTGAAGCTTTGCCTCAAATTCCCTTTTCGATCTTCGCAAAAATTGATCGAAATACGAATAGTGCTTCTGTAGCTTTTCGTCTACCGCCATTCCAAAGATTCAACTTTTTTATTTGAGTTTAAAGCAAATATGATTTTTTTTTCTTGTATCGGACTTGACAAATATTTTTAACGAAAATGAATAGCGAAAAACGTCTAAATTGACAATACAAAGATTTTAATAGTCAGCCTCACTGTTTAATAATTTTGTAATGCGGTATTTTCAAATACCCATATTTAAAAGGGCAAAATTTGGCAAGTGAAAGAGTAGGCTTGCAGAAGTTCTTTTGCAATGGGTTTTTGCTTTGGTCAGTTGAGTTCATTCTGTTTAGTCCGAATTTTTATCTGTTTTTCATTTACTAGTAAAATTCATATGAATTGTAATCAAGTGGATTTGAAAAGGAAAAATTTACTGTAAGAGCGACTGACTATTTTCGCATCGCCCTTAACAGTTTTGCAAAATTTTGAAATGATAAACTTTGATCTCCTGAAAAAACGATTGCTCAATTTATTAATCCGCTACATTGTGTTTTCGAAGCATTTTCTCCATGTTTTCTCTCTAGTGTTGATTGACTTTTAAGCAACATTGATGTCTGATACATTGAACCTTATAAATATATATTTTCTTTATGTACACTGCTTTGTCAGCCTCCAATGGCGTGTTTCCTCAAATTGAAATAGCGGTCAGCATATAGAATATAAGTGGCTAGTGGCATGTACCAAGTTAAACAACCCAACATTTTTTACTTTCATGTGTGAATATTTGGCGGCAGATCAACATAAAATTAGAACCAGGAAAATTCGGGTTTAACAAAGGAGAACTTCCGAAATAGATATGACTTCTAAAATTGCTGTCAGCCGTTTTATTTGGACGGGCAAGTAGTCAAAAATTATTTGGGAATGTCCGAAATTATTCCAGGTTGCTAGTCCGATTAGAGTTTAAAAGTAGTTGAGATTTTAATGAATTGGAAAATTTTTTGAGAAAAAGCTTTATAGCTTTTTGTATATGCGGTGATAAAAAGACTAAAATTTGCTTAATTATGTTTATGAGAACAATTAAGTTTTCCTTGTAAAAGTCAATACTTTATTTACGTACATTTATCAATATCTTAGATGGCCAAATAAAGATTGAATTTCCAAAAATCTGCTGTTGCTGAATTTCCAAAAAAATTTATTGCCTTGAACAAAAATCCCAGACAGTGTTGAATATGTAATTTGCTATTGAAACTATAGATTTAATCATACATTAAAAACTGACAAAACGGATTCTTAGTTTATTACATATGTTATATAATTCCAAAAAACTTCTCTTTAGCAAAGCTGGTGCACCGTTTATGCTTATTATTGTTAGATATTTTATATTTTATGCTAGTTAGTGTTCACTTGTGTTAGTTATTCATGTTAAAACTTAATATATACCTACATATGTATGCAGTTATAACTGTTTTATCAAACGAGTGAAGATTTCGCCGTTAAAACTGGTTTGTTTTGCTTTTGATTCTTTCAGAGCATCTATTGCGTTTTCATTGTTCCTAATAATTCTCATTTTCTATTTCGTTCTGTCTGAATATTTATAATATTTTCAAGTTTTATCATTTTATTCTTCATCTACTTCTCGATGGTAAAGCTATGCTATGAAAAATGGTTAGTGTAAAAACCGAACTGTATAAACTATAAAAATAGTAGCAATAATTTTGTGTTTAAATTTGATTCTATTTTCAAACTTTCAGGTTGCTCATTTTTTGGTTGCAAAAATTGACATTCTCGTAAATTCATTAATTTAAAATTAAACATTCTAATTCGATTTTGCCAATAAAATTAAGTAGATACACTTTTGTATCATAATATCATAATGCTAGTGAGATTCGAAATGAAATTTTATTAGGGCACTTTCCATTCGTTATGGCGAAAACTTTAATTGTCTGAAATAAGCGGTAATTTATTATTCAAATTTTTTTTTTCAAAAAGAAAATTCTCCTTATTCTCCTCTAAAACCTTCGGTTTCTAAAATTCAATTTTGTTGGCAATTTTTATTAATTTTACATTTTCAACTATTAATAATAGTGAAATGAGTTGCGTATATTTTTATTGCAACTGTAGAAATGTACATTTAGAAAACCGTAATGTTTATTATTATATTTTTAATTTTGTAATTGAGAAATATCAAGACATATTAATAGTAAAACAGACAACGTGTTTTCCAAATGCGTTCTCAATTTCTAGGTGCAGTGCGTTCCAATGTTTACAGTACATCCCATAAACGTGTTTGTGTATGTTTAGATTCAGATATACAGAGTGCTCAAAATTTCACCGTTGTCGGTGTATCGATACTTTTAGGTTTGAGCTGAAAGTGGTCATTTTAAAATCATGTCAAATTATAAGATTTTTAAAATGTTCTTGTTCAATTTTAGACATTAAATTTAATTGAGTTTCGCACATTTTTACCTGAAAAGTAGATAATAATAATGTAGCTGAAATGCGACTCTAATTATAATTCATTATGATTCGTTCGGTTGATGAGTGATTTATTGTTAGTTTTAAGTACGCGACTGATAGTATATGTAATAAATTTATGAACTCGTTAGATTGTATTTGATTTGGCGCATTTGCTCAACACCTTGCCATCGGAACAAAGGAAGTCTGGTTATTACGATAGGTAATCCTTGCCAAAAACTTTTGAAATATGATTTTGTAGTATTTACGTGGAAATGGTAGAATGTCGAATATTCTAATGCTTTAATTTTAGCCAAAAGTATTATAGCCGATTTCTATCTACATCTAATGCGCAGCAAGAAAATGTTCCATATGTTTTAATTCACTGAGTAGTAGCAACATTTTTCCATCTGATTAGAGCGGGTTTTGGTTAAATTGTAATTGGATGATTTGATCTGAAATTGTTCTTACAATTATTATAATTATATCTATATTAGAGAAATTGGCGTTCTGGATTGGCTGCATTTGCCTTTAAAGCATATAAAAGTCTATTTGAAAAATATTTAAAACAGCATATTACCGTCTTCATTTATTGATAAAAAAAATTACTGAATGTTCTGAAGCTTTCGTGTTACTAAAAGCTGCGCTAATGAAACCATGAGCGCCGATGCAGGAAAACGTGTCGGAATCAAAACACATCCTGGCCACTGATATAACAACGGAAAAACAGAAATAGAAAACCAAATATCTTTTTTGACCTCGTAGAAGCTGCGTTTTACCCGTGGCATTAAGTCTACATCCTCAGTTTATTTTTGGAAAGCCATACTGGCAATAAATTGAGAAGCTGTATTATAAACTGAGCACGGTAGCAATCAAATAAACAAACCGACTTTGCATTTCAAAAGTTGGGCCAATCGCAAACGACATGTAGTTGAATGGTTTATACATGCATACTTTGTTTATATTGATACATATTTTTTTCTATTTAAATAATCAGCACGTGGATGCTTTAAGAGTATTTGAAAATTGTTTCTACGTACTTACCTGTTTGAACATCCACGGTTTTGATTAATTGCCATGCATTTTATTGCTTCAAAAAGACAATTTTTTTGGCTGCCATAGTCAAAGTGGATATAAATAACAAAAATAATTTATTTTCATTTAATTGAGATTTTTAAATACTTGATATTTTATTATTGAATGTTCCCACATGTTTTAAAAGAAACGTTTGAAGGAAAGGGAAAACTGCAGAAATGCATTCTGTATTTATGTGGATTATTTTCAAGCGTGATTATTTAAAGTGGAGATCTTGTAAAATAATTCCAGGTTGGATCCCAGACTGCTAAGCAATTGAAATTTTGTTTGCCTCAACAAAACACAGGCTTCCGAATTTTTTTGTTAAAATCTTCGAAAAATCCTGCAAACATCAATCCTTTTCCAGATTGAAACATGACAATAAATCAGCATGGAAAATGCTTCTTAAATAATTGCAAAGCCGGACTAATAATAATTTTCACAGCACATTTCGGTCTAAGGAAAATTTCCTCTGGCAAAAACACTGCGCATTTGGTATAAGGCGTTTACCTGACCTGAATCAAAAGGTTTTCGCAGAAAATCTTGGAGTCTGGCCAGCTTCATTCTAAAAATATTCTTTTACGTCTGTTATTGGTGTTAACGGGTGCCAGGCTGTTGTCGGAACTTTTTACGAAAATCTGTATTTTGTTCATGTGATTTTTGCATTTTCGCAAATAAGGGTCTTTGTTTTTGAACAAAGAAAATAAAATATAAATTTCAGGGTTAAAGCACTTTGATTTCAATTACTTTAGTGTCAAATTATAAATTATATTTCCTTATACAGCTTCAATTTTTCCTGAAGGTCAAAAATGGCTTAATTACACATTTTGGAAAAATACTAAAAGGTTTTTATTCTTGAGATGATCGGAAGGATAGTTTTAGGGCCTTTACATATCGGAAGTGCCTAGTTACTGGAACAAGAAGACGAAGTTATTATTGAAAATTGTCTTGCAAGTGTAAAATATACAATCCATATGCAAATGATATCAACATTAATTAAATAATAATAGCTCTAAGTACTCTCAGCACTGGTAATTAAGGTAAATTACAACATTTAAGATTTTATAGTTAATTCGAAAAAAATATATCTATCTGGAACCGATTGTTGATAAACCATGATATTAATGACCTGCTAAAATCCAAACAGTATTGTCATAAATAGCATAAATGAATCTCAAAGTACAGTGCGAAAACAAAACGGAAAATCCACAGAAGCGCAGCGCATGAAAGGTTCTACGCACCATCTGCTTTAGCGGATCGGGGGTATTGGTCAGGATTTGAAAACAAAGAACGATCGTGCCGTCGCGTATAAAACGGCGTCGCGGTGCCCGAACCAAAACATTTGAGCGTCGCGCACTCGAAAGTGATTTCAAAGGTGTTCAGATTTAGTTTTGTCTGGCTTAAGACAATAGAAATTTGGGTTTCAGTTCTGCATTAATTGTGCTCAAGACATTCGATTTTAACTGGAAACAGTGCCCAAGTCTCAGGATTAGTTAGCGAACAAGACAATCAACAAATTCAAGGTGCGTGCTTGTGATGGTGTTCTGCTTTGTTAATATTGCAATTAAATGTGTGTTATATAGTTTTTTGCTTAAAAATTGATTTTAAACCGGAAATGAAAGGATATATTGAGGACAGTCCCTGTTTCGGTTAAAACCATCACTTACTCAACCTGCAGCCTTTTTAAATTAAATTATTTTCCCGTTTTTTTAAATAATTTTTGTTACCGATATTTTCCTTTTCTGCTTTCCACAGATATCACTACTTTCTAACATCGCAGCTGTTCCAGTGTGGTTTTGCTTGTAATTTAAAAGAAAAATGTGACTGTCCATGCGCGATCAAGTCTAAACTCTACATATATACACTTTCCAACCTACAGAATTAAATACATAAATTAGCTTTTGCCTATTTTGTATTCGATATTAAAATCAAACGCAAATTGAAATCGAAGATCATAAAAATTTAATCTCGCTAAAACTTTTATCTTAATTACAGTCTTGCGACTTTTAAATTGAATATCTGATGTCCTAGATCTGATGGAATACACGAGACGATGTTTGTAAACAGAGATGCTTTCTGAAATCTTATTTATTTGAATGTTTTATTCAAAATTATTAAAATATCCGTTTTTATTTACATGATATTTAGTTTGAAGCTTATTAAATAAAATATATTTTTAGCTGTTGATTTTTCAAAACATAATGCTGGTCTTTTCCTGGAAAGCCAGGAGTCACTAAACCAACAGGATTTTCTAATGTCAATAACACCTGTTGCTAATTAATACAACAGGTGGGTAAATAGGTGTTTGCCATTAATTGTGTTGTAACAATGAACTCTTTTAATGCGGATTAATATCCTGAAGTTCGCAAAACTGCTGATATAAATATATTTTCAATACATATAAATTTATGAAATATAATCCGTATTTTTCTGTCAATTTGCTGCAAATGTTAATTAATTTTTCATTGAGTTTTTGAACGAATATGCGGATATATGAAAGTGTATCTTTTATCTGATACTGACGACAATAGATAATAAAGATTATGTTGAGAGCAACCTCATTTTATTGAACACAGACGAACCTTGTCGGTATGCGGTATTATTACGAAGATTATTGAGGTTTATTAAGTTAATTACTGTATTCTGATCCAATTGATATGGGAACTTCATTTGCTTTGTGTTCCCGTTGCTACCAATGGAACAATTTGCTGATATCATGCAAAGCAAAAATTATCTTTGTGTTCTTTTTGCTCTTAAATGTTATTCTTATTAAACCCACTGAAACCTGCAGGAAAAGTTTGAAAATTTGCAAAAAAATCGTTTGTTGGCAATAAAAAAAACATCCAATTTACTTTCTTCTAGTGTTAATTGCTAAATCTCTCTTTTAAGTCATTAATTGCGAAAGACATTAAATAACAACTAATCATTGCTTTATATTAGATGCGTCCTCCGGCTCAATTTGACGGTCAACTGGCTAATGAAGCTGAGGCTGAACAGCAAGACCCCAGAATGGTAGCTATGATGATTAGTACCAGATTAGCTGGACGAGCTGTAATCCGGGTAGTGGGAAGATGTGAAGAAGCTCAAGAAAATCAAGAATTAGGTAATTTTGAACAGTTTCTATACAAAAGAGCTTGGTAAATACTGGTCTTTTATTGAAAATAATAGCTGCTTTCACTCATATATCACATATGATTGCGTGCGAAACAAAATTGATGCTCAAGACGAAGACTTCTAATTAACCTAGAAAAGTAAAATTTCCAATTACTTGCACTTTTAACAGAAATAACGGGTATTATGGGCCATTGCCGTTTTATAGCATCTAAAACATAATTAAATAGTGCGGAAATGAAATAGAAAGTAAGTGGGTTAATTGCGATTGTACGCATAAAAACATGAATGTATCTACTGAAGTAGCTGTTAGTGTTTACAGGATTCGTCTAAATCATGCAGTTTGCTGAAGCTTAACTACCTAGTTTTGTATACCTACACAGAAACCCCAGTTAATCGGCAAAAAATTAAAAGAAAAATAACTCATTATGCTTCAAAAACACATAAAATCCATGATTCATTAACACTTTCCAAGTTATAAGAAAAATCGTCGTCTTTCTTTCATCTCGTATTTAAAACGGTTAATTTGCTTCAATAAAGTCTAGACATTCTCATCAAACCCATTTCAAGTGTTTTTATTTTCACTTTTATTCTGACGAATACCAATTTCAAGGCAACTGACTGTTTTACTCTTATTACCGCCGAAGCTTAATTTAACTATAAATGGTAATGAAAGGCCACTTATTGCGTACATACGTGTAACAAAAACCAGGAAAAGAAAAATTACGCTTCGTTCGGCATTTTCATTGCTTCCTATTTTGCTAGGTGCAATTCCGTTAAACCCATAATGGAAAAAATTATCGAATTTTTAACTACATTTCGTACATTTCAGTTGATGTTTTTAACACATTATGCCTTTCTAATTAAATGAACATAGGAATTTACTTTTAAGTTTCTAATATTGCAAATAATATAATTAAGAATGCAACAAGCAAATGGAAATAAAAGTTGGCTCTAATAGTTATTTTAGTTAAATTTATCGATGTTTTTTTGAGTTGTTAAGAATTTACAGTAAAATCTGTTGGTAATTGTCTCAATATTCTTAAATGAGGGGCATTTGTAGTGTTAATAAGCAAATTTGCCTCAACAGCATTTTAAACTACTTTAAATTTTAAATAAAAATAATTTAAGTCGGAGGTGGAATAACTGCGAAACAAAATAAATTTACTATCGAACGTATTAATTGATTAAGGAGAAAAAGCTACCAATGATTTATGAATATTTGCAAATTAAATAATAATTTTTTTGAATGATTTTATCAGATTTCAGACTTCTTTTCCTAAAATATCCAACTTCATGCTTTACGATTGATAAAGTATATGTATGACAAACTGCGGAGGCCATACACTAAGACAAACCAACAACGAACATACATTTGGACGGTAGCGAATAACACTGTGAAAAACATTGTTTGAGTTTTTATTAATTAAATTAAATAACTTACTTCGCTGTTTGTATCATTTGGCTATCATTAATGGGAATGTAAAGAGTTCGCAAATAGGTTAATCGATCTCAAATAACAAAATATTTACTCAGACGCCAAGCACCATAAATTTTTCCGTTCCCGTCCGGATTTAACAATTTATGGCACGTTACAAAAATATACAATTATTGCCGGGATTCAAAATTCAAATGAAAAATGCATATTTGTACAGTTTTCATCATGATGATTTCATGCAAATTTAATTAATTTTCTGTCAGCATACAAATATGTAAAGTTAAAACTTTGAAGCTTTTGTATCGAAAACTGGAACTTGTCCACTTCGAATGGACTAATGAAAATAGACTTTCCGGATGACACACAGAAATTAATTTTATAGGAAAAAAATCAATCATTTTATCAGAAAATGTGTTCCACTAGGCAATAGACTACAATTCGTTCTACTTAGTTTCGTTTTTAGTTGTTTCAAAATTTAATAAATTAATAATCAATAAATTGAAGTCAAATTGTTTTATTGAGGGCTATATCTATATACTCAAAAAGAAACAAACAGTGCTGGTTTGTGTAGCATTAAAAATGTGCACTTAGGGATAATAAATCAGGTGAATAATTAAATGTAAATTTAAAAAACGAATATATTTATTAGGATCAAAACTAGAAACACTTTTTTTCTAAACATACTGCGTTTTCTCCAAATTGTGTATTTTATTAAATAAGTGCGGAGGACATTTGCGAAATTTCTTGTTGTTGTAATCATCACAAAATATTGCGACGGCATTCAATTAAAATTGTACAGTTGAAAATTCGCTTTCTGCTTTAGAAAATTATAAATAGATTTGAACTACCGGTAATAAGCTATTAACTAAGTTTGGCTACAGTTTCCACTTGTTGTGCCAAAAATGTTCAACTAAAGAGTGAACTACTTTCTTAAAGAAAACTTTAAAAAATTGTATCCTCTCAATACCACATGATTGTGGTAAAAAAGCCGCAAGCTCGATATTCCACTATTACACTGTGAAATTTATATTTTTACATTTTTATAAATTTAGAACACGGAACAGATAGACGGTACTTGCACGTCTCCAAACCTATTTCTAGCACTGGTTGTTGTATCGTGAATCTGAACTAACGGAACATGGCGAACGCTGTTACAAGAGTGATTAATCGTTGTGACGAGGCAAAAGAAAGTGAATGTTTAGGTAAATCTTCCTTGTGGTTCATTATTGACTTTTTGCCTCCGCGGAATTGAAAAAATCCATTAAAATTTGCCTTCCAAAACAAAAAATATACTTTCAGCTTTTTATATAATCTTTTATTAACTCTCGCTGACCATCTGTGAGTCACCTCGTGATTGAATAACCTCGACAGAAGTGTAATTTAAATGGACTTGAATATAAAACACATCACATTGTTTCGTGTTAAACTCCGATGATTGAACGATCTCTTTCAAACATTAGCAAATTTCAGCATTCCAGCAAAAAAAAAATTAGAAAATAATCCCGTCAATTATATTCAGAAGGTATTTGTGACATTTTTTTGCTACATAGTATGATTTGAAAATATACAAGGATGAAAGTGACAGAATACTCCGAATTAGATTAGGTAACTGGACAAGCCAGCTTTTTCATAATAATCCTACTTATCGATCACAATCCTAAAAGAACCAACACAATCCATTTCTTTGTTAAGCTCCCATTTGTTAGCTAGGTTGTGATAGCGTAAACGTTGCTCTACTTATCATTTCCTCAATATGATGAGAGCGAACTAGACAATTAGAACCGTAAAATTTTACAGCCCGTCTGTTAAGTAAAACCTGAGAACAATATTACGCTAACCCAGAAATGAGCGAGTGAATGTTTGCTGGGTGTTTTATCAAACTGTCCTTATGTAATGATGAACATTGGCACACAACTGCGAATTCGCATTACTACATTTTTATTTGCAATTTAAATTACATATCATGGTCTGTTTGGTTAATTAGTTGCAACCAAATTGTAAATTACTCCAGGAACCATGCCATCAAGAAAAATTTTTAATTTTAAAATTAGTTTTACTTAATACTTTTGTATTATTACGCTGAAGTTACTGTCCAGGTTTTGGAATGTTTTGCAATAAATGAATAAGTAATTTCTATTTCAGATCTCTCAAACTGCCAGTTGATGCAAGTTCCAGATGCAGTTTACCATCTTATGCGACACACTGAATTGAAAACTTGTGATCTTAGCGACAATGTGATTACCAAAATTCCTCCTAAGTTTGCTGTTAAATTTAATTTAATTACAGGTAATAATAATTGACTTAGCACCACTTTCACATCCTTTTAACACAATTTGTTTTTAATTGAAATTATATTGATATTGTGTCTTGTTCCAGACTTAAACCTTGCCCATAATCAAATGTCGAAACTTCCAGAGGAGTGTGCCGAAATGGGCAATCTGGAAACTTTGGATATTTCCCACAACAGTTTTATGTCATTGCCAAACTGTTCCTTTAAAATGCCCAAACTAAGAATTCTCAAAGCCAGCGATAATCAAATCATGGGTAAGGGGCCGAAATACTAATGCAATCAGACAATATTTAACTAAGCGATTCAAATAATTATTGCTAAAATATGAACTTTTGCTTATAGATGTAGATGTAGACAACCTGACTGAAGCGCCTTCGTTGGAAAGTGTGGACCTAGAAAGAAATCCACTGGCTCCTCGAATCCACGATCAGCTCTCCAGGATCTCCACTATATTAATCACAATATCGCCAAGGCAAACAGAAGACTGGGAAGACCTCACTATCTAAATTGTGATATATTTAGATATTAGAGTCGTCCATCTTTTAATTATATGCTTGTGATTTAACAATAGTTGAAAGCACTGATTTTATTTGTCTATCGAAATTGCAATCAAATATTTTTCACCATCAATTGGTTGATCGAATTTTTTTACTCAGAATAAAATGTGACTATAAATTTTGATAACATGTTCGCCAATACTTTTATCTATTGTTGAGTAGCAGTACTGACTAAAGTCTTTTGCATCAAACGACACGTTTGTAATCAGATACAAACATTGCTGTTCGATTATTTGTATTTTTGTAATCAGAATCTGTATTTACAGTAGTTCATTTTTGTGATTTCCTATTTAATTCTAGGTGACTTCTACTAATATAGCAAGTACTTAATTTGTAAATATCATTAAATTGGAGGTTGAATGAAACCTTTCTATTTGGAGGATTTTGGGAGGTGTTTGATAGGATCTCCCTCTACGTCCTCTAGCTGCTGATATGTCTTATAAGCAAGAGTTTGCTTTCGTGTGTTCAGACGTAGTTTTGTAATTACAATATTCAGCCAATAAGAAATGTCTGATACTCTTTGCTTGATGTTTTACACTACTTTTTACCAGTTTTTAGATACACTATGTTACATCTTTGTGTATTTAGGTGCACATATAAACATATCGTTTAGAGTACCTACTTAAATATCCAAATGGCACAAAATACTTCTATTTCCATGTATTTCCATGACAATAAGTGTACAAGAATGCATCATCAAAACGCTGTACATATTATAAATATTTACCAGTTGTAAATCAGGAGATTTTTGTAATAAATCAAGACTTCGTCTTGGAAAAGTTAAATAATTTTTAAGAGCAACGTTGACTTTCTCATCTAGTCATATGTAAATGTGATAATAAGTAGGATGAAACCATCCATTTTGTATAGACAATATATAAAGCATGGCAAATAAATCCAATTTTACTAATTATCAGGGTTTTAATTTTTGTTGTTTAAAAACTTGCATCGTTGAGCATATTACCAACTTTTCAGAGCCATTTATTAACATTTCCATATGGTTGTCATATGATGCAGCAAACAATAAAAATTATATTTTATATATTCAAAGTTAATAAAAGTGAGCATTTCTCATCAGTTAAATGTATTCACAAACAACATTAATACTGATTGAAAATGCGTAAAATGAACTCTTTTAATTCGCTCTTTTTTGCGCTACCAATAATAGAGACTTTTATTGCCGATTTTTATTATTTAAATTTGGTACATGGGAACGGAGCATAAAATTTTGCAGGGCAAATTGCAAATTTTTCAAATATTTATCGATGAAGCTTAATATTCGTGGTAATACAATAGGCACACCAATTTTAGCCTCAATATTTGGATGAATCATTGCAGTTTAATCACATGCTATTAAAAGTTTGGTAAAATCGCTAAAATAACTTGTACTTTTTTTATTGCCTTTTTATAACTTGTACTTATTATTTTGATAGAACTGTTGTTTTGCAACAATATTTGGTATACCATATTTTAAAGATAAAACATAATAAGTGTTTAAGCGGACTGAACACATGTAGAATAAACTGGTGAGTTTTTCGGTCATTTAGGACTAAAATGAACACCAACGTCGAATTAACTTCATAAATGTTGGGTTGATAATGTTTGCGTCCATAAAAAGTTGCACAGCATGCTCTCAATGGAGTTAAAGACAGTTTATCACTTATATATCAAATCTCGAATTGTAGAATTAGTCCACTGAATTAGTCCACTCCATGAATAGAAACGTATATGAGAAATTCGCTGCGCTTAGATTTTTTACAACTGATCATTTTGTAGGTCTTTACGCAACAGTGATACTTTAGCTGTAAAAAAAATTACATTTGCTTGCTGAAATGCGATGATTAACGCGCAATAATTAGATAACTGAGAACATCTCGAATCTCTCTTGGTGGATTTTAGGATCATAGTACTGAAATCTTTAAAATACAGACTCAGAGAACACTCCTCTTAAGGGTTGATGTTCGAACTACGAGTATTAAAACTTATTTAAGTGCGTTTATTTATTTTCAAATTTGCACACGTCACTAAAGCATGATCAGCTAATGCAAGGTATTTATTGAATATTAGATAATAACACAATTTAAGCAAAAAGTATGTTACGTATTACTTATTTCTCAAAACTTAAGATGAAACCTCAGCTTTGGCGCAAAATAGTAACTGGTTTGTTTTCATCCCAATCTCCTTCATGGTAAACCTGAAGAAATATCCTCTTCCAAACTTCAGCCTATTAACTTCTTTTAAACTGCACGCGATGCTCTGTTTCAAAACATATTTACCCTAAAAATCACCAGAGGATTAAAGGTAAATATAATAGACTTATCCATTAAAGCCTTGCCTTCGGTTTAATAGAGTCGTTTGTATATTTAAAATCCTCTAAGGATTATAATTGAATTATTTCCAGCCGGCCGTCAAGCATTCAGTTCCCTTCGCCTAATTTTGAAGTTATCTCTTTAAGTTGACCACTACTCCAACATAAGAGCTTTTGATCTCTATAACTGCTTCCAAATATCAAATGTCGAACGAAAATTTTGCAATTTGAAAATTCCTTCAAATCTCTGGTCCAATTTTCGAGGTATTCGAATGATTTCTCTGTAATTTTAATATGCTCAAAAGGGGCTTGGAATGGGTAAATTAAGTTTATTTTTAAAGATTTTGTATTATCAATTTTATCAGCTTTTTCCGACTATCATGTTCATGGCAAACAAAGTAACTTTACTCAATACAACCGATTTGATTCCTCTGGTTCCTAGGTATTTTTTAAAACCTGAAACTGAGTATTTACCTTTCTAATTGGGCAACTAATAGGAGGCTCTAAACTTTTCAGATATTCTAGCCATGGTGCGGGTATTAGCATCATCTTGCAGAAATAGGGTACGGTAAAAGTGTGAAACTGTTCGCAAGTATCTGGCGCGGCCCTATTTAAACATCTGGTGATTGAAAATTCTAACTGAAAGTATGAAAATATTATAAAATTAAACGAAATAGTTGCTTTACCTTTATATAACTGAAAATAAATTACGTTATTTTGCCCTTTAAATGAGATTGTGTATACATATATCAAACTTTTATATTGATACATTTATAATGAGAGTATGAAATAAAATTACCCGAATAAAAATTCAGCAATATTAATTAATAGTTAGTAATTTTCAGCAGATACACAATAAACCACTTGAGTGTTCTTGGAAGAATATGCCCACTTACCTTCATGTCTTCCGCAATATCTTCCTGTACATCAATATCAAAACCAAGAAAATATGTATCATTTTCCAAGTTAATTGAAATGTTTCTGAGATCTATACGCAGGTTTTGGTTGGGACAATTTATTAACTGATAAACTCGAACTGTGCTGTTCTAAAATGAGAACTAATTATCAGCCCGAATAATCCTGTGCCATCAATGTTTTATTTGATCGGGAACGAAAAAATCATGAACTATGCATGAATTCAACTTGTTTGCATTGACATAGGTAAGTGTTGTTATAGGCCGTAAATAGTAATTAAATTTAATTAACAAGTGAATCCCATTAAGCACACAGAAAGTGATAGACTTTTTAATTGATTTCAATAAATCATTTAAACAATTTGATCTATTACCGATGTTGTTGCTGAAACGTGTAGCCCATTAAGCGCTGTCACTATCAGCAAAAATAAATATCCTCTTTCCATTTTACACTATACAACTTCAAATGAATTAATATTGAATTGTTGGCTTAAAATCATTCACTACATTTGTGTCGAAATATTTCAAACTTAATGGTTTAGAATTTGGATGGATGGTGGTATTAAAAAGCTACACTGGGATACTTGATAATTGATAGTTTAATAAAAATGTTTCCGACTTTATAACACTTCGATTGCCAATTGAAACATTTTTAACTCCCAATAAGCATTCCTGAAATAAACAAATGGGGAAAATGCCGCATTTTAATTGATCCGTGATCTAGAAACCAAATATTTCTGTTAATTGCAACCCGAAAATATAATGGTTTAATCGCACATTTCTTACTCACCGCGTGTTCCTGTCCTTCCGACAAAACGTAAAATATCATTGAGGGTTGTTTTCTCCGTGTAACTCAATCTAGATATTGAAATGTAGATTTGCATGTAATGCATTTTTAATTGAATGTAAGTATGCTGGATTATGCGTTCGATTAATTAGCATAGTGCCGCTCAATTTTGTTTTATTATATTAAATTTGTGATCCAGAGATATTTTAAAATGCAATTATCTTCTTTGTGAACGCAATGGATGATAACGTATTCCGCAATTAGTGTTGTTTTTGTATTTTTCATAATATTTTCAGCCTAAAACGTAAACAATTCAATTTAGAATATGAATCACTCATAATTTTCTGTTAGATTCATTACATGTAAAATGTAGATGAATTTTATATTTTACAAATCCTAATTCAACTTGCTCTTTATATTTCAATAAAAATATTCTCTGAACCTCTGAATGAGAGACTGAGCCTTAAGTAAACTATATTTGTACCAAGCAACGGATCTCTAATACAGTCCATTTGCTAAATTAAGTGAATCTCTCGCAACAATTCTATCGAATTTCCTGGGCTTGAACTTTCGGAGTGATGAAACATTCGCGACATAAGTCGTGAATAAATTTCCGTATTTTTAGAAATGGCTTAGTTAATTATTTTTTCACCATATTGAAAAGAACCGGATGGACGTTGATTTACTGCTGCTTTAAAAGTTAGTTGATATAACTTTTTTTATTTGTTCGGACATTTTTTATTCTCTACATCATGCATTAGTCTAATTTCTAGTATAGCTCGAAGCATTAACACTAAAGTTCGCTATCTTGGTTATTAAATTAGGTAGGAAATTAAAAAGCATATAGTATTTATTTAATAATAAAATTAGTATGAAACGCGTGATTCCTTAGATTTTTAGGCCACCTCCAAAGGCTCTCCTAAAAAAATGCATTGGTTTATGTGAGTCTTATTATTGAAGTATCCTAATAATACTTAACTTCATCTTGAATATGTTAATATGGCTTGGCGCCTCAAATGAGAATATTTCAAAACTTAGGTTTGCCAATTTAAGTCAACTTCAGTTCTATTGCTTTCCTTGGTTTCATGTATTACATATAACAATATGTAGCATCTGCCATAAAGTTGAAACATTAATATAAAATAATTATTATTTCACATCAACTTAACAATTTATTTTAAGCTTTTAACCAATTAATTAAATAACATTTTCGGTAATATCAATTTACCACAATCGATTTGAATATATATGATTAAAAAAATTGTTTGTGTTAAATCTCACCGCTTGTTCTCTCAACAATCCAGCTCAGAAACTGAGTAACTCTCGTATTCACGCTGGGTTCATTTGAGGCACAGCCAAGACCATGGGAAATTATTCCCACTAAATGCATTCTGTTTGCAACCACATCAGTCCATAAAAGTGGACCACCTGAATCAAGCTGGCAAGAGTCTTTCCCTGATCAAGTTTTGATAGAATTTAAAAAAATATATATCGATCTGTATTAGGCAGCAATATATTTGGATGACGACCAAATTTAAAATGTTACTAATAATGCAAAATTACCTGAAGCAAACGTACACATTTCTTCAGGCACAAGTGCTTCGCTTACGATTATTGAGCATTCGTCATTTGATAAAACGTTTAATGATGCCATCATTAGAACATCTGAAGTGGGACCAGAAAACTCAAGTTGACCCCAACCTGAAATTGTTTCACGTTCAAATTACTGTTAATTCTATTGCTTAGTAGTGGCCAGAATTTATTTGCAACCTTAAGAAAGGTGAATATCGGGACTTACCTAAAACGATAACAGGCTGAGAAGAAAAATCGTAGTCAACGTATTTGAAGGGCAGACAAATCGGAGCTACATATTGACTAAAAGCAATAGATTTGGTCGTTTGCAATATAGCGATGTCATTGGCATAAATGCTACTGTCGTAGTCAGGGTGTATTTCATAGGCATTTATGTTATAAAGGGCAGAATATAATGTATCGTCTCCTACAATGTATAGTCATTTTTTATCACTTTCTTCCAAAACGTAACTATTTGTTGCATTACTAGTCGAGATTTTTCTACTTTAGCAAACAAGAAGAGGGAGCGTCTCTTTCATTAAAAAAAACATGTGAATTGCAAACTGACCTGATGTAATATTATGATCTCCAGCCAAAATAGCTAATTCGTTGGGATCTTTTTGAAATACGCAATGAGCAGCAGATAGAAGGTATCTATCCGAAATTATATGCCCGCCACAAACGAGCGACTTGGTACTAAAACTGACGATTCCCACCATTGCAGGAAATTCATTTATTCCCGTTTCATTACCTCCTACTATTTGGAAGCTCTTACTCTAAAAATTAAAACTAAAAAGTCAGCAGAATATTTTATACTGCAATGTTGCTAACAATTAAATGTGAGTATTATTTCTTTCGCTGTCGTTTTTACCGTAGTAATTAGTGAAAATATATTTTTCTTTTTTCTTTTCTACCGTTATTCTTTTGCTACTAAGTGTGCCACTGTGTAGAAGTTTAATGATATAGGCACTGAAATCTGGATAGCTACACCGTTCAAAGTTAATATTACTCAATAGTGCTATTTTCTGACCTTTCTTTAACACAATTTACCTTTAAAGACCATTGTCTTTGACGAAATTATTAGGAGAGGAGGAGGAGCTGTGTATTTTAGAAGCTGCCACCGTACATCCGCCCACAAATATATTGGCGGAAAGTAGATTTTTACTTTGCTAGTAATAAGTAATTTCTTTACTTTAGCTCCGTGTGTATTTATCTTATAAATATTTTAAAGGTTGAAGTTTTGTTCAAACTTTAGTCTAAAATAAAAGGTACCTTGAGTAATTTTTTCAACCTACTCTTAACTCGATAAATAAAAACCTCGACGAAATGAAAATTAGGCAATTTTCTAAAAGCCTTCAATTTGCTAATGGATAGCATACACGATTTGAAACTTTCAAACTAGCAGGCAACTTTACAATGTTACAAAAACGGCGGATCCAGCTTCTGCATCAGAGTGTAAAAAAAGTAAACGCTAAAAATCTATATTTCCGATAGACTGCTTTGCTACATTCTATAAACAGCAAATAATAAATGCCATTTTCAACAATAGAACATTTCCGAGAAACAATAACTAAAACGTTTGAAGAAAATATTAGAGTAAAAAGTCTGGTCGACCAGTTAAAATCGGTTAATTAGCATCTTTACGAATTAACCTAATGCTTGTGTTAAAAAAAAGCAGTTGCAGTTTTGAAACATTAATTTCTATTTTATCATATTTTCTAAAGCTAAATAAGCACGAGCATATATTATACATGATTGCAAGCACGTGAACTTTTACGTGAACATTTTAATAGACAATAATGCGCGCTAACAAATGGCACATTGAAAATTAAATCATGCAAATTAGCGATGAAGTAGCAGTACCTAAAACTAGTCATACTTACGCTGATAAAATTATGATTTGGTTTATTGTACGGTGTATGCTCCATAAACAAATTTTAATATAATTCATAAGCTTTAAACAATTGTTTTAAATCAACATGATCTGTCATCTATCCAACGATAGACACAACTACACGAAAATTTTATCATCAATAGAATATTTATTTTACTGGAAGTTCTATGAATATTTTTCATTCTCAGTAAACGTAGAAGCAATAACAATACTATAATAGAGTTAATCACGTTTTATACAAAAAAATCTTATCGGATTTCTCACTGTCTCAATTGTGCATGCAATATGGAAATGAGGATAAACTTGAGTTTGGAATTAGTAATTCCTGACCCCGGCTTATTAAAGCTGAAATTAGTATCTGCATATGTTAAATTTATAATTCATTCCGATAAAATACCTAAATGGAAAATTCGACACTTACTGCCAAATTTCTCCAGCCACAATCGCACTCGTTATCGGCTCGACTTTCACTCGATCCAACAACTGAAAAAATGGTAACCAAAATAGCGAATTTACTAAGAATAAAAAAACTGTAGATCTTTGGTAAGTTGAATGATAGAAAAGACGGAGGCACTGATATTCTAGCGTTACACATCTTGTTTCAAAATCGGCGAGTTCAAATGTAAAAGTAAAACTAAATGAAAACGGCAAATGATAAAGTTTATCAAGGTGTGTGTTTATCTGTACTGTAAAAAACCAATACCTCTTAATTTCGCAAACTAACTTCAAAGCGTTGTCTGGCCACTTACTATGTGAGTAATTTAGCGATAACTAGATTGCAATAAGGTATTGTTGCAGGTTTTGGGGTTGGTTGCAATATCAACATGGATATTTTTAACCATACGTTTTATATTCCTCATACTAGCTTTATAAATTTAAATTGTTTTTTTTTATTTCTGTCCTCATTCTATGTATGGTTCAGAGCAAATGCAGAGCAGACTGAATTGGATGTAAAAGCAAGTTAATTTTATAGAGTAGTCCAGGCATGGGTTACTAATCAAATCAATTTGCTACTAATTTAAAACCTAAAACATGCGGCTAGTGTAACTTGGGTGAGTTTCATGATATCTAATGGCCATATTAAATAGTGGGCTTAAAAATAATTTATAATTTATCGCCATTTATTTATCTATTAAGACAAGTACATGAGAAATAATCACTAGAAAATTCCTTATCAGCGTTGTAACTTAATTTAAGTGGGTTTTAAAATTAGATATTTTTATATAATTTCAGACATATTTATGGATTTAAATGGAAATTTATCAAATATATACATATATATCCTCACTGTACTCTTCAAATATAACAATCAACATTTCCGGAAACTTTTACTAAAATGAAATTTAATTTAAGATCATATTCGAACGAGACGCAAGTAAAACTTTAAGCTAGCCTGAGGGGTGCGCTTAAAGCAGCGCCCGTTAGTTCTCTATTACGACTGCCATTTTATTTGTTGTGAAAAGATTCTAAAGTTTAAACGAACAACGTTTTCAACTTTTTTTATTTAATTAAACGAGTTCAGTCGAGAAGTTTTCCCTTGTATTGAAGATATTTTATTTCTATGGCTGGTTCCGTTTTCTTATTGCGACCAACTCCGGCAAAATCCCTGTATTTTAATTTAAGAAATTAAAAAAGTTTCAGAATATTGCAGCTTAATATTATTTGATAAATGATGAAAAGTTCTGGCTTTGCGCTATTAATACAGACCTCAGTCGACAAGTTTTATAACATCTTTAATACTGAAATATCTCGAACTGTTAAATGTTTTTTTAGTAAATCTGAGCATAAAGTTCTGTTTTAATTATACTACGTGTGCTCAAATGCTCATTTGAGCAAATGTGCTGTTGAATTGAGGTTTTGTCACCAGTTACCATAAAAGTTTCTTGATTTTTTTGGTTTACCATTTTTCAGTATTCACTCTTTTGCTGTAAAATTCAGCAACTTTCGAAACTAATGTAATTATCAAACTTAAGAGCTTTAAGCGTTTTCGAATTTAAAGCAAAGACACAGGAATAATGGATATTGTTCCGTATCGACATCTGTTTGAGTTCTTAAAATTTTAAGCTGGCCATAAAATCCTGCAGAATTCGCATTGTGTTGTCGGGGGGTTCTACTTTTTACTTCCCAATAAAGCTGACGTATAGTTAAGCTTAATTACACTTATTGGGGCATGTTAAGTTGTAATCAAGTTAGTGGTGCAATAGCGTTAGTGTGGCTGCTTTTTACCTCTAAATTTTCCGATTTGTTAATATAATTTGCTTTTAATTATTTAACGTACAGCATGATCCACCGATAATTTTCCACTGCCGAAAGTTATTTTCCAGTTGCCTTCCGATTCCATAGCGTTATATGCAACCGATATGAGCCAGCTGTCATAAATTCAGGAAAACTTTGGGGAAGTTTCACGCCAGTTTTCCTCTGCAAGCGTTACATATGCACGGGATCCATTTTAGCACCCATATGCATAAGAATGTGTTAGTTAAGGTGCTGATTCATCAAAATCAAATTTAGGAACGTGAATGCAATCCAAATAGGATCTATCGGTGTCTTGGGGTTTGCGGATTACCACTCAACTCTAATAGCCGTTTGGCCACATTCTATTAAAATGTAATCAATCTGCCTTGAAATTCGCTGCCAGATTTTCTGTGGCAAAATTCAATATTAAAATTCAGCACTGAGTCTTTGTCGATATAAAAAATAATGCGTTGATTAGTTGAAGAAGCTCATGGCAAAGACGCGTATCGAAACTTTGGATTCTTGCCGAACCATTGATTGATGATGCTGGAAAATATGTGCTGGCAAAGTGATAATCAATCATTTAGTAATTTATCACGTACTACAGAGTTCCTCTTAAAAAAACACTTGTCCCTACGCAAACAACTGTATTACGACTAAATAAGCGTGATTTATACAGGGTGAGTGTTTTTCAATTAGTAGTACAGGGATCTTCGGAACTAGAGCAGTTACGAAGAAGGTCAAGTGGACATAGAATTGTAGTTTGGAATGCTCTACTCGAAACCAATTTTATTTTTCTAGAATTTGACAGCTGTCAAGAGATATTTGGGAAAAACTTATTTCTAGCAAGTTTTAAAGTACTACTCCTAGTTCCGTTGATATTAATTTGACAGGAAAACATTAAATAGAAAACTTGTAGGAAATTGCATTCCAAACAAAATGGCATAATACATTTCTCCAAAATAGCTGTAATTTTTGACCTATGACACAAATTTGAGCTTTTTTAAATGTCAACCATACTTGATTATTTCTTTACCGAATAAAGAATTTTATTACGATTTCTGTGATATATCACGTCGTTAGGTTTTTGTCGAAAATAAAGTGCCTTTGAAAAATGTGTACTTTTTCAATTTAGTTGATCGAAGTTAGCCATGGAAAATAGTATAAGACATACAGCATTGTTTCCATAGTAACAAATAATAACACAATGCTTCAGTATTTATTCTGACAACTACGCGCAATAACTTTATTTTAATTAAGACGGTTGCTCATTTAAAGTGTTTATCATAAAAATCAAATCATTCCAATAATAATTAAAATTTAATTCTAAAAACTTTAATTTTTATTGTAAAACTTTTCCAAAAAACCACCATTATTTTCAATTCAAACATATTATTAAAGCTTTAAAACTGAGTAAGTTGCTTTTCTTGCGGCCCGACCATCAATATTTTCAAATGCTCGACGGCTTCTTTAAGTGCGCTTAAATTGGAATATTTGTTTTTGTAAACTGTGTTTGTTACGGCTCCCCACAAAAATAAATCCAAAGGTGAAAGATCCGGTGATCAAGGTGGTCATAAAATAGTGCCGGTTCCCTCAGGAAATGTTAGGTCCAAGTGATTCTGCACTTGGGAAGAATTTTGCGGAGAAGCGTCATTATTACATTTAGGAATGTTTTCCGGGATTTGAAGCCGTGGTCTATCGGAATTTCTTCCTGACGTTTCGTCCACAACTGCGGTGGACATTTTCAAAGGCGATGAGGCAGTGGGCGAAGTGATCTCCCGTGCTTTCCGACTAAGAATGTCATTCAACAGAAATTGAGAACAGAACTGAAATTGAGTTTTGCTTCGCACATTGCTCAATTAACAGGCTCCGCGATGAGGATGCTGAGATTTGTTATCCGTTCTGTTAGGGATTTCTCTTCCACTTGTACGCTGAAAATCCTGTTTAATTTGGTTAGATCCAAGCTTGAATATGCATCTATCGTATGCAAATGTAATAAAATGCACATTAACGACCTCTAACCCATCCATAGACGTTTTCTAAAATACTTAAGTTACCGTACACATGGGATTTACCCACCCTCTCATTCTGAACTTCTTCGGAATCATTTGTTCGCATCTCTACAGGATCGACGGACACTAGCTGAAGTTCGTTTCTTGCCATGTTTGATTGGTGGCTCCCTCAGTGATCTGATCATACTGAGTGAACTTACGTTTTTTGTTCCCTCGATGACCTCAAGACGCAAGATATTTTTTATCTTCCAAAGCGATTCATCGAAGTTTTCACCCCTTGAATCATGAGGTCTTGTACTCATTGGGGGCACTGAAGATATTTTTTTTGGAACTGGACTTCGGAAAACTGGACTCTGACAAACAATATATGCATGCTTTTAAATATAATGATGTTCAAATATTCAAAGTAATAAATATGGTGTTGTTATATAGTCTCACTCTGTAAGTGGCTTACAGTTGTCGAGGAGAACCTAAGTAAATACATAAATAAATACTTTAATAATGTTCATACATAGTTCTTCTGGCCGTATTTCATCATAAAGGTATTGTGAAAGATTTTAAAATTTTCTGAACATGTGTTGCAAAGCTCATCTTTATATCAATAAAAATCGAAATACAACAGTGAAATAAGGTGTAAAATAAGTTATTCTTATTATTTATTTCCAATTTGTTCAGCTTTTCTTTACCCGTTTGAGTTCGCCTGTACAAAATTGATATTAACTGGAAAGCAAGATCTACACATTTAAAGAAATACGTGTTTTAGTAAAATTCGATAGTGATATTTCCCCTTCGTGTTATTTGATATAAGACAATGTTTGAATAATTAACACTTGGTTAACCATTCAATTTCCATATTCAAATTAACCTTCAAAGTAAATCATTTCTTGTTCTGTTATATGTATATTCATTATAGCGTGTTCCATATTATAATAATACGGGAATAAAAGCCTTACATTAGGGAGAAAGTAATACTGCTGTCAGGAAGTTGCATTAATTCATGCTTTGCAGAATGTTGCTAGAACAGTATTTCGCAAGACTTGAAATTTTAATTCGCTGACATTTCCAGATACTTGAACTCTTCCAGTTCGTTGAGTATCCAGTTTATGCATGCATTTAACAGCGGTATGAACGTAGTAAAGTCGGTAAAATGTTTGTATTAAACTAAAAATATTTTTCCTTTGGTGTGATGCAGGTAAGTATCCAGTTAGGTAACGAGTACCTTTGAGTTTTGCATTTTATTTTTACATCATTTATTAATCATTCACATAAAATCGTTCTAAAATTGCTGTTAAATCTACCATTTCATTGTCAAATTATACATAAGTAAAATTGTCAATATGCTTGAATAAAAGATTTTTCCGCATTTTATTTTTTTAAATCATAGGCTGAATATTTTTAAAGGTCGGCAATATTCAGACAATCTACTTCTCTAATGCAGGTCAATCATTTTTTGCTCATTAGG